ATTTTTTTTTTTTTTTTTTTTTTTGTATTTTATTATCGGAAAAGGGCCAAAATTGCCCCTAAACTATTGAAAATAGAGCAATTATTCCCTCCGTTTGCTATTGAGCACAAAAATACCCTTACCGTTAGTCAAGTGGAGCATATATACCCCCTCCACTAATAGACTCCACATCAACTATAACTTCACTTTAAAAAGATTTTTTTTGCTGAGTTGGAGTTCCACATCAGATTTGACTGTTTTTTTTCATCAAAGAAAATTAATGAAATTTAAATTACCCATGTATTTTTCCATTTTCAACAATCAACGGATAAAAATACCTTAATCAACAAATCCTATCAAAAAATCAATTATACTCCTCATTGTTCTCATATTTGCTTATTCATCATTAACCCATCAAACTTTCATAAACACTGCCATTCCAGAGTTCAACTTCATTGTATTACAACATGTACTACCAGGAGAGACTATCATAGAAAAAGAGAGATTTATTGGTGTTAGAAACTTAATTTGATTCTTTTTTTATATTTATTTTGTTTAATCCTTCTACAATTTTCTCCAATTTTTAATTTTCAAGCCTGTATCTCATCTCTCTTCCCGTTTTGAAATAGTTTGCAGAGGATCAGATCTGGACTTGGGTTTTTCTATACAAGTTTTTTCGGGTTTTTCTATATAGATTTTTGAAAGAAAAAAAAAACATACAAGGAAAAAATGGATTACTGGAGGAGTTTTCGTTGAAGTCCGATGGGGCTCGCTGGTTGGATTTTTCGGGATAAAAGTCTGCTACGTAAGGGGTGGTGATGATTGATGAAGAAGTGAGAAAAGTGGCGAGGGAGGTGTCGGCCAGATGTTCTTGTTATTGGAGAATTAAGAAATTATATGAAGGGTATTGTTTTCCAAGTGGGAGCTCCAAATCAACAAAGAAAGTACTTTTGAAAGTGAATCTATAGCTAATGTGGAGTCTGTTAGTAGAGAGGGGTATATGTGTTCCACTTGACTAACTGTGTGGGTATTTTTGTGCCCACTAGCATAATTGCTCTATTTTCAATAGTTTAGGGACAATTTTAACCCTTTCTCCTTTTATTATTTTTAGGAGTAGTAGTTTTATTAAGAGTTTCAGTACAATTTAAACATGATAAAACAGCAAGTCACTTGGTCGGAAAGAAAGGAATATAGCAAAATAATCTTGTGTTGACTGTTTAGGATTTAGAGATTCTTTTTGACAATATAACTTCTTTTTGACAATATAACTTTTTTTTTAATTATTAGTACTCCATTCTTTTTTAATTTATATGACATTCTTTTTAAGTTTAGAATGTTAAAGAATATCTGACACCAGAAGAGTATACAACTTTCATCTATTTTCAATTCAAATCCATATAATTGTGTAAATTTAAAACTTAATTGTGATATTTTTTGTCAAACTATCTTTAAAACTACTGTATTAATATCTTCTCACATATTCACTACTTTCTATATATACGAATATTTGAGACTCCAATCCAATCAAACATGCACCGCTGTAAAATGAAGTAGATGAAGCATTTAGCATGCATCTGTTTCGCGAAAATAAAATTGCACGACTAGCAATTTAGTTGCACGTTGCCTTACTACACTCAAGATCGCTAAGAGAATGGTAGAAAAAACACAAGAGAATTGTTAAAGGAAGCTTTGTATTAGAGAGAATTTGAATTGTTTGCTTGGTGAATTACAAATGAATGGTCCCCTTTATATACTAGTCTCCTAGGGGTTAGTGTGTAAATATTAATTGTTACACAAGTCCTTAATATTTACAAGATAAGGGCTTTCTCTAGAATTCTCTATAAGCCTAGAAGATTCCAAGGACTTTTCTAGCAAATCCATATGGATCTAGGGTCTTCCAAAGGTAATGTCCATACTTTTCTACAATCTTCTCACAAATGCTAGCCTTCCTCCTATGTAAGCTTTCACATGGCTTTAATATATGTCAAATGGTGCCTATGTAGCATGGTGACGTGGCGGGTCATCACACTCTCCCCCACCTAATATTGCGACGACCGCGGCGCAATGTTGCTGTATAAACTCTTGGATCTTATCTTTGAATTGCCATAAGTCTTCATATTGTTCTCACGTGGCCTCCTCCGGAGATTGCCCCTTCCAATGGACGAGGAATATTGCGGTGGCTTTCTGCCCTTGTTTTCGCCTGGCCTGGTAATCAATAATAGCCTCAATCTCCCTATCATGCGAGGAGGTGATAGTCATAGGGGCTCGACTTTATTGGCCCCTACTCGGATCATCCTTATCTTCATGATATGGCTTAAGCATGCTGGCATGGAAGATATGGTAGATCTTAAGATACGATGGCATGTCAAGCTTGTATGAGATCTTGCCTACCTTGGTGACGATCTTAAATGGTCCCTCACACTTGCGAATCAGATTCTGGTGCATGCCCCGTAGTGCCTTGAATTGTCTTGGGTTAAACTTCATTATGACCATGTCTCCAACTCTATAGTCCGTGGGACGCCACTTACGGTCCGCAAACTTTTTCATCGTCTTAGCTGCCTTATCCAAGTAGGACTTGGCAGTGTCAAGCTACTCCTCCCATCCTTTGGCCATATGATAAGCCCTCAAACTCTTTCCCTTGAACGCGGCTGGTAATGAATGTGGAGTTTGTGGTTGTTGGCCATTGGCTAGCTCAAATGGTGTCAGCTCCGTGGACTCGCTCCGCTGCAAGTTATAAAAGAATTGGGCGATGTCTAGGAGCCTTGCCCAATCTTTCTGATGCGCGCTTACATAATGCCTCAAGTAGCATTCTATTAAGGCATTGACCCGTTCCGTTTGTCCATCCGTCAGTGGGTGGAAACTAGTGGAAAAGTGCAGTTCCATGCCAAGTATGTCGAATAACTCTCTCCAAAGGTTTCTAGTAAAACGAGGGTCTCGATCACTGATAATATGCCTTGGTAAGCCCCAATACGTCACCACATTCTTAAAGAATAGTTTGGCGGCTTCCTTGGCAGTGCAACCTGGTGAGGCGGGCATGGAGGTGGCATATTTGGAAAATCTATCCACCACCACCATAATAGTACCATAACCATCGAACTTCGGTAGGCAAGTGATAAAGTCCATAGTCACGCTCTCCCATGGACATTCTGCAACTGGTAGTGGCTCCAAAAGTCCTTCGGGTTTTTGTTGCTCAACCTTGTCCTGTTGACAGACAAGACAAGTCTGCACATAACACTCTATATCATCTCGCATGTGTGGCCAATAGTAGACTGACTCAACCAAGGCCCTAGTGCGACGTTGTCCTGGATGACCAACCCACATTGTGTCATGACTCCCCCTTATGATCCGCCGTCTAATGTCTCCAAACTTAGGCACATAGACTCGCCGACCTGTGGTAAGTAGTAGGCCGTCTTTGACCCAAAAACGTCTTGTATTACCCTGGTTGGCTAACTCGATAAGTTGTTTGGCTGCTGTATCATGTTGCATGCCTTCTTTTATAGCCTCACGAATGTCCCATATTGTTGAAGTGATTGCAGCAAGCTCGGCTTTCCGGCTCAAGGCATCGACTACAATGTTACCTTTGCCTGGCTTATACTCTAGCACATAATCAAATTCGGCCAAGAAATCCTGCCACCGAGCCTATTTTGGTGTGAGCTTCTTCTGCATCCGAAAGTAGCTAGTAGCTACATTGTCGATCTTGACCACAAACCTCGATCCAAGAAAATAATGTCGCCATGTACGAAGGCAATGCACAATAGCAGTCATCTCCGTCTCTTGCACTTTGTAACGCCGCTCTGTCTCATTTAACTTGCGGCTCTCAAATGCTATGGGATGCTTATCCTGCATAAAGACACCCCTAATGGAAAAATATGAGGCTTGAGGTATCTGTATGCACCTCAAATGTCTTGGCAAAGTCAGGTAATGCCAAGACTGGCTCATCTGTTACAGATCCCTTGAGATCTTCAAACGCCTTTTGACAATGCTCCGTCCAAACCCATGCCTTGTTCTTCTTTAGAAACTCAGTCAATTGTGCGGCCTTTGCTGAGTAGCCACTGATGAATCGACGATAGTAGTTAACAAAGCCAAGGAAGGATCTCAACTCAGTTACCTTTATAGGTGACTCCCACTCCTGGATAGCACATACCTTAGCCTTGTTCATGCGTAGCTCGCCATTGCTAATAACATGGCCTAAGAAGTGCACCTTTGATTATGCAAACTCGCATTTCTCCCTCTTGATGTGTAGCTCGTTCTCCCGCAAGACTTGGAAAACCTTCCTTAAGTGCTCCATATGCTCCTCCAAGGTGTTGTTGTAGATGACTATGTCGTCTAGGTAGACTACCAGGAATTGATCAAGGTAGGGATGAAATATCTTGTTCATAAGGGTGCAAAATATGGCCGGTGCATTGGTTAAGACGAAGGGCATCACCAACCACTCAAAGGCTCCATATCTCGTCACACGTGTTGTCTTCGGCTCATCCCCTTCTGCAATGCGAACCTGGTAGTAGCCCTTGTGAAGATCCACCTTGGTAAAGTACTTGGCTTGCCCAAGTCTATCGAATAAGTCAGCAATGAGCGGGATCGGGTACTTATTCTTC